CACTTACTAATTGTTGCACTTCTTCACTCTTTAATAGATGGATATCATAAAACTTTAACCTCTGGGTATGGTAGATTTGTTCAAACCCATATTTAGTGAAGATATCATAGACATGTAGAGAGGTTAAGTAGTAATACTTCGTAGTGAGTCTTCTTAAGAGGATTACTTGATCTGGGGTCACATTTACATATATTATCCCTAAATAGTAACCATATATGAGGAGATTAATATAGCTTTTGAGCCAAGTGGTCTTTTTTACTTAGACAAAGGTTAGTAATATATATGTAGCTAAGTTATTATTAGGAGTATAAGGCAGAGTTACAGGGTCTGTGGCTGAGCCTAAGTTTGTGAGGTCATTATATATTTCTTCATAGCTGATTATCATTTTTCCAAATTTTATTATTATTTTTTTTATTTTATTGATCTCTATTTATTTCTTTATTTTATCCTTTTGATCTAATTTTTGATATTATCTCTAGATCTTTCTCTACTATCTGTCTTATTCTTTTTGTTTGTTTGTTTATTTTTTTTTATTTTTATTTTTTTTTAATACTTTACTGTTACATACTAACATTTATCATTTTTCTTTAGTAATTTGCTATTAATGTATATAGTCACAACTTAGCTTTAGCATAGTTTTGGAAAACATCTCATGAATCTTTTTATTTTAGAATGATGGTATTAATATTTATTCTTCTACTTCTAATTTAGGCACTAATTTTTCATCATAGCTTGGCTTTACAAACTTGTATAATGATAACTTTTCTAATTTCTAGTAAGTATTGTATTTTCCTTTTACTCTTTCAGATATTGTTTTACATTTACTCTTTCTAATCTTTATTTCAGATAACCTTCATTGTTTTTAACTGTCTCTTCTCTTTTTGTGCAGTACTTATTACTCTTACTAGTACTAGGCTATGTTACACAACTTACAAATCCCTCAAGATCAGCATTCCCAAGTTCTGAATTAGATCATTATCAAGATTATTGGGTTCTGCAAGTAGGTTGTCGAATCTCACAGTCACCACCAAATGAGAATTAGAAGTTTGGTCACTAAGACCAATAAACCTTAATATTATTTAATAACTCGATGACCTTATCAAAAGAGATATTTAGATTTAGCAGTTGGATGTCTTAAAGCTTAAGTTGTCTATTTTTCTAATAATGGACAGGAGATTATTACTTCAGAGAGATATAGTAATCATAAATTAGACTATAGATTTTATGAAAATAATTCTATTATACTATTTAGTAGAATATTAGGAGGTAACTAAAGAATATAGAAATTAGATAGTAGGACTTTATTATTTATTGAACAAGATCTGTTGTCTCAAAAGGCTAACACAGCCTTTATTTATAATAAAATTTACTATTTACATTTAGAAGACTATACTGTTTTTATTTACTACATTAACTATACTAACTATAATATCAGGTAAGTCATAGGGCCAGAGGGTTTAAATAGGGAATCTTCAAATAGATTTCAGGTATCACAACTAGTGTAGAACTTTTGAGCAGACTACTTAAATAGACAATCTAAAGTTGTACATGTGACTAGTTGTATCCTCACAATATGTATCATTACCTACTATCAAATAACCAATAAAAGTTTCAGCTGATGGCATTGTATCAATAAAAAAAAAAAAAAAAAAAAAAAAAAAAAAACTATAATATCTATATTTTCCTTACTAACTATATCCTCTTCATAGTCTTCTTAGACTAAAAGCTTTATTTAGTTCTTGTTGCTGATATAGACTATATAGACCATATAAATAATATAGACCATGTAGACCAGGTCACCCTAATCTAGAATTACTGAAGTCACATAGTATATAACTTTATCGAGTAATATTTCCTCTATACTTATAGGTGAGTTCTATAAACCTTCCTGACTTCTATTATTCCTACTTACTAATTGTTGTACTTCTTCACTCTTTAATAGATAGATATCATAAAACTTTAACTTCTAGGTATAGTAGATTTGTTCAAACCCATATTTAGTGAAGATATCATAGACATGTAGAGAGGTTAAGTAATAATACTTTGTAATAAGTCTTCTTAAGAGATTACTTAGTCTGGAGTCATACTTGCATATATTATCCCTAAATAGTAACTATATATAAAGAGATTAATACAGTTTTTGAGCTGAGTAACCTTTTTTATTTAGACAAAGGTTAGTAACATGCATGTAACTAAGTCATTATTAGGAGTATAAGGTAAAGTTACAGAGTCTATAGCTGAACATAAGGTTATAAGGTCATTATATATTTCTTCATAGCTAATTGTTATTTTTCCAAATTTTATTATTTTTTTTTATTTTATTGGTCTCTTTTTATTTTTTTATTTTATACTTTTGATCTAATTTTTGATGTTATTTCTAGATCTTTCTTTACTATCTGTTTTATTCTTTTTGTTTGTTTGTTTATTTTTTTTTTATTTTTTTTTTATTTAATACTTTACTATTACATACTAACATTTATTATTTTTTTTTAGTAATTTGCTATTAATATGCATAGTCACAACTTAGCTTTAGCACAATTTTGAAAAGCATCTCATAGACCTTTCTATTTTAGGATGATAGTATTAATATCTATTCTTTTACTTCTAATTTAGACACCAATTCTTCATCATGGCTTGGCTTTACAAACTTGTATAATGATAACTTTTCTAATTTTAGTAAATATTGTATTTTCCTTTTACTCTTTCAGGTATCATTTCATATTTACCCTTTCTAATCTTGATTTCAGATAACCTTCATTGTTCTTGACTGTCTCTTCTCCTTTTGTGCAGTACTTATTATTCTCACCAGTACTAGGCTATGTTATATAACTTACAGGTCCCTCAAGATCAGCATTCCTAAGTTCTAAATTAGATCGTTATCAAGATTATTAGGTTCTGCAGGTAGGTTGTCGAATCTCACAGTCACCACTAAATGAGAACTGGGAGTTTGGTCACTGGGACCAATAAACCTTAATATTATTCAACAACTTGATGACCTTATCGAAAGAGACGTTTAGATTTGGCAGCTGGATGTCTTAAAGCTTAAGTTATCTATTCTTCTAATAACGGACAGGAGATTATTACTTCGGGGGGTACAGTAATCATGGATTAGACTATGGGTTTTACGAAGATAATTCTACTATGCCACTTAGTAGAATATTGGGGAGTAATTAAAGAATGTGGGAATTAGATAGTAGAACTTTATTATTTATTGAACAAGACCTGTTGTCTCAAAGGGCCAACACGGCCTTTATTTATAATAAAATTTACTATTTACATTCGGGAGACTACACTGTCTTTATTTACTACATTAACCATACTAACTATAATGTCTATATTCTCCTTACTGACTATATCCCCTTCATAGTCTTCCTGGACCAAAAGCTCCGTTTAGTCCTTGTTGCCGATGTAGACCATGTGGACCATATGGACAATATGGACCACGTAGACCGGGTCACCCTAATTTAGAGTTACCGAAGTCACATGGCACATGACTTCGCCGGGTAACACTAGTATAGCGCCATGGTGCTATGTCACCACCAGTGTTGTTCATTTAACCAAGATAATATTACTATTATATTAAGAAGCAAATATTTTTATCAACTTTTAACAGTTGTTTGGTGCGTCAACTAGTAATTAATAATTGGAACTGAATAATTGGAAATTTGATAATATATAAAAAAATGCTCCCTATCTGCTATGTAAATCTGAGTTACCAAACTGAGTAGTACAACTATTAAAGGATATTAGTGGTTAGAGCCACTTTGGTAAATCGAAAATCAACTTCGTGAAAAAAATTCGTGTTTAAGTTGTAATCTACGTGACTAACTGCATATATTTCCGTTCCAATTATAAACTTACCAAATTTAGAAAAACTAAGATCGAACTAATTATGTTTGTAATAACTGAATTCTTTTTTTGGGGGGGATTTTGTAACATTCGATTCATCAATAACTGATAAGATAACAGATAATCGAATGGTAAGTACGTACGCGCAGTGTTGTCGTTGGACATAATTTGGGCATTTTAGACATTTTAAACAAAAAAATAGATGAATTTGCTCAAATTTTATTATGATCTTATTTAGAATTAAACGGAGAATATAATTATTTTAATTACTAAAATATTTAAGGATATGGACAGCTTGGACATGCCAAAATGTATACCGCTACGCAGTGTTGTACGCAGTCCCGGACAGTGTACAATGTCCCATGTCCGTGATGGTTGTCTGGTTTATCGAACAACCTGATTGGCTAACACGGCTTTCTTATTATAATTTTAATTGTCCGGGACAAATAAATATTGGCGGACATGTCCGGGACGTCCCGGACTGTCCCGTGACAACACTGCCGCATACAAAAATCATTCGATTTTGATCAATCGTATGTTATTGGTATACCTGTATACTAATATTAGCATACGTATTTAATTCACGTGATACCAGTATTAGAATTAGTTTTCTCTTCCAAAGATCAATGAAAAAATAATTATTATATTGTTATCCAAATTGTGATTCTTAAAACTAGATTTAAGATTTTTGCCGCAAAAAATCCCAGTACTATGTTCTTGTTTTTTTTAAAAAAAAAAAATAAATAAATAAAACAATTAAGATGTAAATTACAAGATCCAGCCAATCAAAAAAAAAATTTGGGTTATCACATCGGTTTTTTTAAACACCAGAGATTGTAATCGAATTTTTTTCATTGCTGTATATAAAAAATTTATACGTAACAGTTTTTTTACTAATATATGCTGAATGATATTCGCATTTATTAAGTGTTAGAGAATTATTTATCTAATATTAGCTAAAATCCACTTTCCTTATTTGATTGTGCTTGGGAAGCTTTGATCTTAGTCGTAGTACAAGCAACTTACATAATAATCGGTTAAAAAAAAAATCTGCATTTCATCAATTCTTTGGTTTTCTTTTTTTTCAATTTTGACAAAAATTAGAATTCAAATCTAATTTATTAAATAGGTCACTAAAATTTTTTGATAATATGTCCTCTTTTCGTTTCGTTCGTTGTTTTTCTACACGCGCAAGAGTACCGAGAGCTTCAACATTTGTTTTCGGTTCAATGACTCCAATTTCTGTATCACTTCGTAGTCGAGTCATTCCTTCTGTTTCTCGTAGTTATACTACACAAACCACCGAAAAAAAAGGTGGAAGTAATACTTTATTGATAATTGGAGCGGGTCTTATTGCTGCAGGAGCTGGTTATTATTATTTCACTTCTTCAGAAGCTGGATTAAACACCTTTGTCTCTACAAAAAAAGAATTAGATTATCAAAAAATTTATGATCAAATTGCTGATACTCTTGAAGATAATGATTGGGATGATGGTTCATGGGGACCAATTTTACTTCGTTTAGCATGGCACGCAGCTGGTACTTATGATAAAAATACAAAAACTGGTGGTAGTTACGGAGCTACCATGAGATTCTCACCAGAATCTGATCATGATGCAAATGCTGGTTTAAAAGCTGCGAGAGATAAATTGGAAATTATTAAAAAAAATAATCCTGAAATATCATATTCAGATTTATGGAGTTTGGCGGGAGTTGTTGCTGTTCAAGAGATGGTAAATTATAAAAAAAATAAAATAAATAAATAAAAGATAAATGCTCGATTTTTTTATAATAAATGCTAATGCAATGAGTTTTCATTCTTATATAAATTCTTTATAGGGTGGGCCTAAAATTCCATGGATACCTGGCCGGTGAGTTACCATCGAACGCAATATATTATTTTTAATTGGTATCACAGATCATAATTTTGTCTTTTTCTGATAAAAAAAAACAGTAAAGATGGCGAAGCTGCTGCTTGTTCACCGGATGGTCGTCTTCCTGACGCGTCTCAAGGGTCATCTCATCTTCGAGACATTTTCTACCGTATGGGATTTGATGATCGGTAATTTTCTTTTATTAATAACGTATCTGTAATGAAAATTTCCATTTAGCACATAAATTCTTTACGAATACACTTTTACCATAATTACTCGGATTATTTATCGTAAAAAATCCATAATTACATATAACAAATAGTTGAGAACTTTCTTTTTTTTAAAAAAAAAATGCAGAGAAATCGTTGCGCTTGCTGGAGCTCACGCTCTTGGAAGATGTCACAAAGATCGATCAGGTTTTGATGGTCCTTGGACACCGAGGTTTGAAATCAAAATTTAAACAAGCATTTAACAAGTTGGCTCATAATATTCTATAATTAAAACTTTACATTTTCAATCGCAAGTCCCACAATGTTCACCAATGGATTTTACCAAGAACTTTTAGGAAAGAAATGGGTAGAAAAAAAATGGAAAGGACCAAAACAATATGTTGATAAAGAAACTGGTATATTGATGTTTTTATTTAATAATATTGATGAATAAAGCTAGTTAATCAACTTCTTTTTTGTTATCTAGGTGAACTCATGATGCTTCCTGCAGATCTTTCTTTAATTCAGGTATATTATTTTATCAAACTACATCCACACATACATACATACATTATATATATGTATAATTCTATATATTTATCTATATTGTCGCTTGAAATTTAGGACAAAGCTTTTAAACAATATGTAGAACAATATGCAAAAGATGAGGAATTGTTTTTCAAAGATTTTGCAGCAGCATTTCATAAACTTGAAGAACTTGGTGTGCCAAGAACTGGTGAAGAAAAAGTTTATTATTTCAAAATTAAAGGGTAATATCTTTTTTTTTTTTTATTAAGAATGATCAAAAAGAAATTCTTTTAAGAAACCTAGTAGATTTTCTTTTATAAACACAATTTTGTATTTAAAGAATATTTCACTCAAATAAAATTGATTTGTAAGATATTTATGAATAATGATATTTTCTGATAATAAATTGGAATTAACCTTCTTTTATCCAACCATAAATAAAATTATATATTATTTATCGCTGCACATATGTATCATTCATCGTGAGCTGTAGTACCAATTCAAAGTATTTCTTAATGAAATTATTTCATGATAAAATGCAAAGTGCTCAGAACATATAACCATTAGGGTGTATCACATTATAATTAATCAAAATTATGTCGGATCGGTCACTAAATTTATAGTATAAATTTTTACAAAATGTAAATTAATTTTGTATTTTATCATATAAAACTATATAAAAATATTTACATTTATCCTCATTTGCGCAAATTTTAATTTTTAATATAAAATTTTTTTCTGTAATTTTGTTCCTATGATATTATTATAATAAATAAAAAAAGGTCGAGTTATAAATAATGGTTTAATAAGTCTGTACTGTACATTTAATTATATATATTAATTTATATTTGAGTGCTGCGAAGGAAAAAGGCAGTATGGAGATTCAATTATATTTTAGTATAGTTTTGATTTAATTATAATGTTAACCTATATAACCATGTAAAAATTTATAGTCTTCTAGCTTAGGATTTTAGTTCTGGTTTGACATCAGTCTTTACTAATATCAGACTGATTTGGACCATTTAGCATCTATATCTGCTCGTTCGATTTGTCACTAAAAATTGACATGATCTAGATAGATATAGCCGTTATTTAATTTTGTGTATTTCCTTGATTTAGTAAAGCGTTATATTGAGTTTTAGCATCTAATTTCGATTGAAATAACTGACGTATTTTTTTGAATTAAGCTATTTATAAGTCTTAGTCAACTTTTATGTAATCAATTACGTTTAAACTATTTGACATCTATTACGTTCATAAACAAAAAAAAAGTTTATTTCATAAAAAAGAAGTCTCCAGGCACTTCCATTTTCTCCTACTTATTTTCAAACATTACGGCGCATTTGTGTATTTTCAAGTATTGTAAAGTCATCAACTCATCTTCGAAGATGGGTTGATGGGTTAGACGTTATTTATATGACTTTACAGTAAGAAATGTCACAAAGAAAATAATAAATGACGCACTTTATAATCTAGTCAATACTTAAAAATACACAAATGCGCTGTAATGAATACGCTATTTTTCGTTAATTTTGATTCAATTATAGACTAAACTTACATATTAAAGATGTGACCAAAACCTAGTTTTTTTGTAATAATACTAAACAGAATTCCAAATAACAAGAGTTTCGCGGAATACTATAAATAAATTTTGATCTATTGTTAATTTGAGATTCGTCAAAATAATTCCAAATTACTTACTTTATATTTATTATTGTTCTTTTTTACCTTTTGAGAAAAAAAGTCTTAAAGAAAATTTTAACTATCTGTTGTTAATTCAATAGTTATTATTAGAGATGTCATCATAACGTTTTAACATCACTATGTTTTTAGTTTTTTCATGTGGTAAAACTAATATAAATGGTTTGGGTCAAAATCCTGACAAACAGAATCCCGACAAACAGAATCCCGATAACAAAATCCCGACAAAAATTGACTAACACTATGCTAACCCTAACCCTAATGCGGGCTAATCTGGCGGGATTTTGACCTTTTCGGAATTCCGTTTGTCGGGATTTTGACCGGCTCCCGATGTAAAATACATACAGTTAATTAAAAATATTAAAACTAGACTAACATAGTTAGTTCGATGATAATAATTTATTAATAAAAAATCTAATTCTGGTGGTCGACCTAGAGCAGAAATGTTGGTAAAAAATTAGAGATTTTTATTCAGCTAAATGTTAACATTGTTCAATTTCTATTTTCACTTCAACGAATTCTGATTAGTGATGTAATCGGCTGGAATGGCTCGGCTTGGCTCTATCAAGCCATAGCCGAAGCCAAGCCATAGCATAAATAGCCATGGTGCAGCCAAGCCATGATATATCATGGCTTGAGTTAGCCAAGCCGTTTTAAGTCATGGCTTGAGTTTTCTGAGCCGCTGCTAGCTATAGCTTATAGCTTAAGCAATTAATCATAAATTGAACGTATATGCATAGCGATACTAAATTTATATCGATAAATTATGATATTTATCAAATGTGTACAGTTCGAATTAAATTTTATTATAGC